TTTTTCCTGTGCTTTTTTAACCTTTCCTTTAGGATAAAATAAAAAGTCGGTGGCGACTCTTGCTAAACCGAACAAGTGCGAATACAAAACGCAAAAACTCAAGTCAGTTCTCCCACCGTACCACACTTGGGATAGTTATCTACCATTGATTGAGTTTACCTACAACAATAGTTTTCATTCGAGCATTGGTATGGCTCCTTTTGAGGCATTGTATGGTAGGAGGTGTCGGACACCGTTGTGTTGGTATGAATCTGGAGAGAGTGCTGTGATTGGACCGGAAATTGTCCAATAGACTTCGGAAAAGATTAAGATGATTCAGGAGAAGATGAGGACTTCTCAGAGTCGTCAGAAAAGTTATCACGATAAGAGGAGGAAAGATCTTGAGTTTAGCGAAGGAGAACATGTTTTTATGCGAGTTACTTCGATGACTGGTATTCGTCGAGCTTTGAAGTCAAAGAAGTTCACTCCACGTTTTATTGGTCTGTTTCAGATTACCAAGAGAGTTGGGAAAGTTGCTTATCAGATTGCTTTGCCGCCGTCACTTGCAAATTTGCATGATGTTTTTCATGTATCTCAGCTAAGGAAGTACATTGCTGACCCGTCTCATGAGATTCGGGTAGACGATATACAGGTACGGGAGAATTTGACTGTGGAAGCGGTACCTGCGAGAATTGAGGATCGGAAGTTGAAACAGTTGCGAGGCAAGGAGATCGCGTTGGTAAGAGTGGCTTGGGGAGGACCAGCAGATGGAAATGTCACTTGGGAGCTGGAGAGTCAGATGAAGGACTCGTATCCCGAACTGTTCGTCTAAGGTATGTTTTCGAGGACGAAAACTCTTTTAGTTGGGGAGAGTTGTGACACCCCAAATAATCCGATTATTAAATAATTAGAATTTTTAATTATTAATTTAATTGGAAATTTAATTATTGGTATTTTTGGATTATTGGAATTAATTTAATTAATTAAAGGAAAGAAGTATTGGTGGTGTGAAGAGTGATTAGAGGGTGTGAGGGGTAAAATACTCTACTCTTACTAATTACTAATTTAATTATTTTATTGGAATAATAAAAGGAGTATTAAAAGGAAAAAGAAGAGAAAGAGAGTTATTTTGGAATATTCATCATACGTGCATTTGAGAAGAGGAAAAAGAAGGCGAAAACCGGAAGCGTCAGAATTCGAAGAACCCATAAGGTAAGGGGTGATTTCGATTAGTTAATTCGTATTATCGGTTTAGATATTCAATAGTATGGATCATAGTATGTTAGGGAATCCCGGTTTGGAATTCTAGGGTTCCGTAGAATTGTCCCTATTGCGTCGAATTGTAGGTTGAAAACCATTAGGGTGTTAGATGATAAAAAGGAATGATAAAATAATGTTGTTTGATGTTATAATGATGCAAAATGGATGTGTTTTGGTGTTTCTCATGTTGCAATTCGTATGGGTATGTTTGGAATTGGTTTAGAATGAATAAATGCTGTCAAAAGTGCAGAATTTGACTCTGCAGGTCGTGGGAACCGGTTCCCAGTGGGGAGGAACCGGGTTCCACTGTGTGAATTTATAAAAACTGGCAAAAATGCACGTAGGAACCGGTTCCTGTATAGGTAGAAACCGGGTTCCCATACATTTTTCCAGAAGCGTGATTTTTGAACTTCGCAGGAACCAGTTCCTGCATATGTAGGAACCAGGTTCTGCTGTAACTTTTTGAAAAATATTAAACTTTGAAAATTCATAACTTTCAAACCGTAAGTCCGTTTTGAGTGCCGTTTTGGACGTTATTTCTTAAATTTAATGCTCTATTTTATAAAATGAAAAGATTTCCTAAAACCTGAAATTATTTTGAAAATGAGTCAAATCCCGGAATAAGTGATTATTGGCTAACACACATGGGTGTGTATGTAGCAGTGAACCTGTGATGGATGGATGTATTAGTATTGTGTGAATGAAAGGCATGTTTATGTTGCTAATGATGGTGTGCATGATCATTGAGATATCATGTTTTTGGTTTTGGTTCAGTTATGATAAATTGATGTATTTCATAGACTGATTTGATGTTGCATGCTAGTGATGTGCGTGCATATGCATTGTTTTGGTGAAGTTAATTCCCATTGTGTGGAATTTGACTTGTATTGCCGTTAACCGATGCCCGGGTGATGATGGGTGGTTAGGCTGGATTCGTGTCCGGGTGTTTATGGATGAATCGATGGTTGCAGTATCCGGTTGATGATGGATCAGTGTTGAGTGACTTGGTCACGTGTTGGTACCACATGCATTGTGTCTGCATTTGTGTTTGCATGGAATTGTAACATGTTAGGATATCTTCCAGTGTTACAATTCTTTGGTTGATTATTGATTTGTGCATAATGACTTGTATGATTGGAACTGCGTGTTGAATCTGAATTTATGCTAAAATGGGTGAAATAATATGCTTGTGATATAATGTTGATTGAGAAGCTTATAATGCATGTTAATTATGAGAAATCTCACCCTTACTTTAACAATTTCAGATTAAAGTTAGCAGCTCAGGAGTTGGTGGGGATGGCTCTAGAGCTATGTTACTTTAAATCCGCGTGTCAGTGTCGTGCTCTGATAAGTTGTAACACTGGGGAACGTTTAGTTGAGGAATTAGTTATTATTCAATTGTTTCTTTGAATTTCATTGGGAATAATTATGTTTTGGTTTATTCCGTTTTGTTTATGGTATTTTTCCGCTGTGTAAGACATGGTCTTAAGTTGATTGAATTATTTGAATAATGACCCTCAGTGTAGCATGACTACTGTTTTATTGGAAGTTTTATTTATCTCATAATTGTGACATCCCTTGTTCCGTGTTAACTCTGATGGAATATGTCTTTAATTATTGATATAATTAATATTATTTGGGGTATTTTAGAAGGGGTGTTACATGTATCATGGTATGAATTACGATATTTTGGTGTTGTTTCATGTTATATGTGCATATGTGGAAGATAGAGATGAATAGATTTTGTAATGGTATATAATGTTGTTGTTTTGGTGTTGTTTTTGTTGTAAAAGTATATATGTACAAGAGTAATAGTATATATAAGTATATTGGTGCAAATGTATAATATCTTTTGGTATTATTTTTTATTGGATTGAAGCTCCAATATTAGTGAAAATCTGGTGAAATTTGTAATGGTATATATAGGTGCAAAATATGGTGAAAACCTGATGCAAATATGGTTAAAATCTATGCATATAAAATTGTATATATCAAACAACATTTTTTCCCAAAAAGGTTATATAAAAAATTTCGTGGACATTAGACAGCGCTTTAAAAAATGCTGTCTAAAACCCCCTTTAGACAGTGTTTTTACTGTAAAAGCGTTGCCTAAAGGGGCTCTTTTTTTATAATTTTTTTTGTTTAAGAAAAAGCGCTGGCTAAAGGGGGCCTTTAGCAGCGCTTTAAAAAAAGTGATGCCTAAATGGTGCTTTAGACAACGCTTTAACATTAAAAGCACTGCCTAAAGGTTTTTTTTTTCTGTTTCAGAAAAAGTGCTGGTTAAAGGGGGCCTTTAGCAGCGGTTTAAAAAAAGAGCTGCCTAAAGGGGACTTTAGACAACACTTTAACATTAAAAGCGCTGTCTAAAGGGGTTTTTTTTATAAAAAAAAATTGTTTCAGAAAAAGCGCTGGCTAAAGGGGACCTTTAGCAGCGCTTTAAAAGTAAAAGCGCTGGCTAAAGGGGTCTTTTAGCAATGCTTTAAAAGTAAAAATGCTGGCTAAAAGGGGCCTTTAGCAGCGCTTTCAAAGTAAAAGAGTTGCCTAAAGAGAGGATTTAGCAGTGCTTTTACTTTTAACAAAGCACTGTCTTTATCTACAGCAGCGCTGAAATAGACAGTGTTTTAAAGCGCTGTCTAATGTCTTGTTTAACATAATGAGTGTTGGCATAAACTACGTATATGTAAAATTTCTTCTGATCTATGTCAAGAGACAAGCAAATATGTTGATGAGAAAGACATTAAACTTCGGATTCATTAAAGCGTATTTTTGAAATTTGAAAAACTCTTAAATATATTTAAAGAGAATTGTGATACACTTCTAAAATAAGATTTGCGACCCTCGTTGTACTTCGATTTACATTTTTATGTCATCATCACCTAAGTTACATATCATAGTCACAAAGATATATTTGATTTTTTTCTTCTTTTTCTTTTTTAGATTTTTAAAAAAAATTATAATTTATAAATATTAATAATTTATTTATATTAATACATAAATATAAAAAATTCATGCATCAAAGATCTAACTTTAAACTAATAGATTACATTCATTTAACTCAACCAATACATATCAATTAGATTAATCTATCCACACAATTTAAAATTGATTGATAAAGTCCTATTATGACAAGAGTTTCAATTCCACTACAACAAAAAGATGAAATCAGCTTTAGAAATTCATTTTTCCACTTTGACTTTTGTTAGCTGCAGCCAAAGTTGATACTAATAAATAACCCTTATATTAAAGACCAATTAAAAAAAGAGCAGCCTAGTTGTTACCTTAATTTTAATATATTTTAAAACTTGTTAAAAATAATTCAATAAGTCATCACACTTAGAACTATTATTGCCACTGTATTATTGTCCAAAATGTGACTCAACAAATCATTTTATTGCTATACAATCTATACATGCAGTGTGGAAAGTTTTCAAAATCTTTGTGAGAAATTTATTTTCATATGTTATAATTTTCCATACCGCAAAGTCTTAAAATTTGTGATAAGAGTCTCATTCATACATTCCAATGAAAGAGGAAAATACCCTTTAGGAGGAACAAAAAATTATTATATATACATACTTCCATTAAATATTGATTTTCATATCATGCACCTTGAAACTAATGAACTTAAAAAATATTTTGAATGAAACCTTTTTGTTTTTTCTCATTTTTTCTTGATATGAGTCACCTTACTTGAAATTCTCCCATTTTTTACTTCAAGTTTTGCAACTTTCTTCAAGTTGGTATTGTTCATTATCATTAAGATGGTTTTGAAATTTTCTCTCATTGTAGTTTTTCTTGTGTTTCATTTCTTCACTTTGGAAGCCATTTCTAAGAATCACAATAATAATCACAATGTTGTGCCTAAAAAATCATTGACTGATTTTGTAGTTAGAGACTTAACAAGAATTCAAGCTTTGCATAAAAGGGTCATTGAAAAGAAGAACCAAAACTCCATTTCAAAGTGGCAAAAAACAAAGGAAGAATCAAATAAGTTCTATAAGCCACCGGTGGTTTCTCCGGCTGCACCGCCGGAATATTTCACCGGAAACTATTCAAGTCAGCTTGTTGCAACGTTGGAGTCAGGAGTAAGTTTTGGCTCTGGTGAGTATTTCATTGATGTATTCATAGGTACACCACCTAAACATTTTTCTCTCATACTCGACACCGGTAGTGATCTTAATTGGATTCAATGTGTTCCTTGTTATGCTTGTTTTGATCAAAATGGACCATATTATGATCCTAATGATTCTTTTTCTTTTAAGAATATAAGTTGTCGTGATTCGCGTTGTCAACTTGTGTCATCGCCTTCGCCTGATCCTCCTCAGCCTTGCGAGGCTGAGGAGGAGAGTCAGGTTTGTCCGTATTTTTATTGGTATGGAGATAGTTCAAATACAACAGGCGATTTCGCGGTTGAAACATTCACTGTGAATCTTACGAAACCAAATGGCGAATCGGATCTCAAAATCCTCGAAAATGTTATGTTTGGTTGTGGTCATTGGAATAGAGGACTATTTCGCGGCGCTTCTGGATTGTTAGGATTAGGAAGAGGACCATTATCATTTGCTTCACAGCTTCGAAATCTCTATGGTCATTCATTTTCATTTTCATATTGCTTTGTGGAGAGAAATAGCAATTCAAGTGTTAGTAGCAAATTGATATTTGGTGAGAACAAAGAGCTTCTTGGTAATCCAAATTTGAATTTCACTTCTTTTGTTGGTGGAAAAGAGAACACATTTTACTATGTTGAGATAAAATCTGTTATGGTTGGTGGTGAGGTGTTGAATATACCACAAGAAACTTGGAGTTTGTCAGGAGAAGGTGTTGGTGGCACAATAATTGATTCTGGTACAACTTTAACTTATTTTGCTGAGCCAGCTTATGAGATTATCAAGGAAGCATTCATGAAGAAAATCAAGGGTTATGAAATTGTTGAAAGCCTTTTACCTTTGAAGCCATGTTATAATGTGAGTGGAATTGAAGAAATGGAATTGCCTGAATTTGGAATCATGTTTTCAGATGGAGCTGTTTGGGATTTTCCTGTTGAGAATTACTTCATTCAGATTGAGTCTGATGAAGTTGTTTGTTTGGCTATTTTGGGGTCTCCTAAATCTGCTCTTTCAATTATTGGAAACTATCAACAGCAGAATTTTAATGTTTTGTATGATATGAAGAATTCAAGACTTGGTTATGCACCAGTGAAGTGCACCGAAGTTTAACACGGTGTACCAATGAAAGGTGCAGTCGCAGAAGTACAGATACTTCAGATTTAAGACGTGTCTGAGGTCCAACTTTTAATTTATCAGTGACTCACATTGGTGACATTGACACGCGTAGTTACATTTAACTGTTTTATTTTCTCAAATTATTATTAGTGACAAGATGTATGTGTCATGGTAGAGTCTGATGTGTTTGAAAATTTATAATTCCTCTGTCTCAAAATGACTGTTGTATAAAAGAGTAATATAATTGTTTTGACATTATTCAACTTTGTTGTGGACCATTCTCTTTAGTACACTTTATGTTTTTAAAGTTCCTCATTTTTCTTGAATAATTAGTCAAATGGAATATGGCTTGTTTACATATCTAACATTAATATATGACAATGACTAAGTCAACTCTATTGTTAGGTGTCTCTTAACATTTTGTCATATTCTTCTATTGTCATTGGTAATAGGACAGGAATCTAAAATAGCAATACATTCCTTTCATAAAACTGTGCTAAATAATATTTTTCTTTTGCTTATTTTGTTTTATATCCACTTTTTCTTGAGAGACATTTTTCTCAATGTTTGAATGATTCTTTGTTCAAGTAAACTAATGTGAGCATTTGGTGGAGTGAGTCTACAACAATAATAAATCCTTTTCATCTCACTAGGTACAACAAAATGTTAGGAACGCAAATCTACAGTTAAATAACTTTAAAATCTTCTATTTAAAATCTTCTATTTTTATTTAGAAGTTGTAATTAGTATTTTACTCTATCTTAATAATTTAGAGTTGTTTCTAAAAGAGACATGCGGCCAATACGTTTAACAAATCATAGTTAAATTCTAATTATTTATAATTTAACTTGTAACTATTTACAGTTTATAAATGAAATTATAATAACATAAAAAATAAGTTAACAAGAAATATGAAATAAATAATTTAATTAAATAATGATTATATAATAATCTCTATTATAAAAAAAAAACTTTATTGTATATAAAATATTTGAGTATTTTAAAAATAATAATTATATAATCTTTAGAGCTTAATAGATATGTAGTGATAATATAAAATAATTTTACAGTGTCATCTAATAGAAAAATAAATAATTTATCATGTCATTAAAAAAATTTTAAAATAAAAAAGTGATATATTTAAATACATGATAGTAATTAGTTGATAATATAAAATTACTTCATATTAAAAATTAACATTTCAACTCATTCAACTCCATAACAATGACATTTATCAATCAATTTCTTATTTAAAAAATTATAAATAAATAAAAATTAGAATAGATTATAAATAAATAAAAATTAAAGAAAAATAATGATTCATTAAAATAACATTGATTTATATGGGAGAGTCTTTGAGTCTAACACTACTTATTAGTGAATCACAATTTTAATCTTTCAAACTTGAATGAATAAATAATTTAATCTAATCTCTAAATATACAAAATGACAACTTAGTTTTTAAATTTAAGTCATAATCTAATTCAGTTCATATACGACATCTCACAGTCACAAATCCTAAGTTAACATGTTTTATTAAACTCTAATTTGAAACCGTTAGAAGTAAAATTTGTGTTTTGTCGGTTAGTATGGTATATGTCGAATAACTTTTGTATAAGTTGTAAATTGTATTCGATAGGATCAAATACAATAAATATTAGAGTCTGTCGAATTCATGTATTGGACTTTAACATTTTGTGTAATTGGGCATGGGCATTGTTTGTCTATATAGGGACTGTTGAGTTTGTAATAAAATATGCAATAATACAGTGAGAAATAACGTCTCTTTCACCAAGCTGCTTGCTACAACGGTGGCGTATGAACGTGGGAAACAAGGAGCACACAAAAGCTTCCTCTGTACACTGCATTCACCACAAATATCGGAAAAGGTGCTGACGATTGTACTTGTTTACTTCTTGCATAAGTTTCTGATCTTTTCTTCTATTTGAGATACTTCTGATATGAAGTAGTAGTAGAGTGTAGAAGAGATCATGTGTTTGTTCTTTCAATCTTCTAATGGAATGATTCTGATATGAAGAGATGAATATTCCAGAAGATATTTCGTTGTAGTGTACCCAAAGGTAACAGAGTCTTCAGAACTGGAACCTAGTCTTCAGATATATAGCAACAACTTATCTGAAAAACAGTTTCTTGATATGAGAGTGTTGAAGCAAAAGCTTTATCCGAGAAGCATTTTTATCTTGTTTTCTGATCATTGAAGCAAAAGCTTTATATTTGATCTTCATTATAAATTCTTTTCTGAACCCACTAGACTTCTAAAGCAATAGCTTATCTGGAGAAGTACACGTGGTTCTATTTCTGGCGAACATTCAGTATTCATCAGATTTACTGATGTTTCAACAGAATTTAAACGCTAGTCTTTCTGATGCGAGCTAAACAAATTTCTGATGATTCTTCAGACAATAATCATGAATCAATTTAAATATTTTATCTGCACACTAAAAGAACTATTAGATATCAAAATTGTTATATATAAAATATATGTATTGTTATCATAAAAACTCATAGATTTATATGCAGAACCAAATCTTGCTCTTACAATCTCCTCCTTATTTATGATAAAAAAACCATGTATTTTGATGAAACAATTTTACAAGGTAATATCAATCAAAGTATTAAAGTAAATTTAGATAAACTCACCCTGAAATGAACAATCTCCCCCTGAGTTAAAGACTTAACAATTTTTAGAGATGAAAGGGCTTTATGAGCATTGTTATCTTTCTTATCGCCTGATTACAGAATAAGATCCTCTTTAACGCTTATCAGAGCTTGACTTTATCAGAAATCCATTCAATAGATATGTTATCTCAAAACCTTCTAAATGATAGAAGTTCTATATCTGATCTTGATTTATTTGAATCCTTAAGACATCAGAAGTTCTTTTATCATCTTACTCCTGAAACAATATTCTCAAAATAATCTTTCATATGTATATTGTTAGAATTTAAGAAATGGAATTTATAGAGAATTAGATGTATCAAAATCAACACTATCTTTCTCCCCCTTTTTGTTATAATTAAAAAGAAAATAAATAATTAAGTTGTGATAAAAAAAATAATTAGCGTGTTTATCTAATGAATAAGATTAAAAAAATTATGAAATATTTTGAGATGATTGAAAAAGAAGAATTTCATAGAAGAAACAAACACAGTATAGAATTACAAAAGAAATGGTCAGAAACAACTGAAATTGGACAACCTATAGCGTCTAAGGGTTAGATGAGGAAGGATTCTTCTGAGAAAGGAGTTGAGTCAGCATGTTCTGAATTTTGTTGTTAACTATCTCTTGTTTGTCAAGCCTTTCTCTGATAAAAAGTTGTTCTTTCTGCATGCTTTCAAGTGTTTTTAGCACATGAGAAAATATGTTAGAGGTATTTCCTTGATTTTCTATCGCATATGCAGATTCTTTTACAACAGCTTCTCTATCATATGCTTCTTTTTTAGCTATCTCCTTCTCCTCTAGGACCGGATGCCTCTCTTTAGCTTCTTTGACAAATTTCCCTTTGGTTTGTATAGAGATATTTTTTATTCTCTGAAACTCTATACCCATCCATCTATTTAACTGATTCCAACTTGCATCAAGTCGGGAGGGATCACAACTAGAGCTTGAATCCTCATAGATCTTCAAAACTCTCTTTGTTGCATTATTTTTGAATTTAGAAATTACTTTATCAAGGTTAAAGTGAGGAAGATCAGAGGTTGTATGAACAATAGAAATGTGTTCATCAGAGCTAGTCTCAAAAGAAAAGGTTTCATATAGGACTAATGTATTATTGGTGAGAGAGAGAGAGAGGTCATTAACAAGATTAGGGGATACAAGATCAGGAGGTTCAAAGATGTTTATGGTTGAGATGGGTGTGATGGATGCAATTTTCTTAGGAAGTATTTGTGTTGAGTTGGTGAAGTAAGCAGCGAATGAGATGGCAAAAGAAGGTAGAGATATTGTGGATAAGGGTGATGAAGGTTTTAGAGACTGAAGTTGTTTGAGAAGGAGATGAAAGTATTAAAGATTTTGGTTTTTCAAAAGATGTAAGATTGATGAAAGAGGATGAAACATGAAAGGTTTCTTGAAAGGGTGAAGAGATTTTTGAAAAAATAGAGATTGTATTTGCATAAGATGTTTGGACGGAAGTTGATTGTAGTGGTAGGTTGGATGAAATTATGACTTTTGAAACAAGTAGGGTTGTAACTGTTGTGGAATATAAATTGGGGTTTTGTTAACAGAGAATTTTTAATATGTGAATGTTGACCTGAAATGACTATCCTGGAAGAATTTTGGTTCGAAAGGAGGTATGAAGGAGGTCTCATAAAGATTTCGATAAACAAAAAACTAATAAGAGTTTCATTTCGCTAAGTGTTGGTGTAAGATTCGTTTTATGAATCATTGGAACTTGTTTATCCAAAGTATTATCATAATAGATACTTCGATCGTCATGTCTATTGTTGTACATCAAAATTTGCCCTCCCGTTTTCTTCAAGACATTCTCATGAGGTCCCCATTTTCCCAAAGCCACTCAAGAGTTGACTGGTCAAACCTCCTCCTAAGCAAGGGTCTTCAACTAGGGTTTGGTGTTTCTCAAAGAATATTGGTTTGCAAGGGTCTCAAATGACTTTCATGATTCATCATAGGTCCTCAATAATGCTTATGTCAAGTTTCAAGTCTTGCATCACAAGTTTGCTCAATCAATTACTCAGATGACTGAAAATTAACTATATTGAGTAAAAAGTCAACTATGGTCAACATACAGTCAAACTTAAATTTTTTTTGTCAACAACAACATTTTAGTGATATTCATCATTCGATCAAGGGTTGATCTTGATTCCTCAAGGAAACCCCTCAAATCATCAAAGGTCAGAAAATTGCAAAATTTGGGTTTTGATTGACTTTTGACCTAGTGTGCGACCTAATGGCTTGAAGCATGACCTCAAGAGCTCAAACCAACATCTTGACCTAATTGCATGGCTCAAGAAATT